CTCTCTCCTCTCTCACTCTCTCTTAAAAAAAAAAAAAAGAGACAGGGTCTCACCAAGTTGCTTAGGGCCTTGCTAAATGTCTGAAGCTGCTTTGAACTCCTATCCTCCTGCCCCAGCCTCCCAGGGCACCAGGATTACAGGCGTGTGCCACYGTGCCTGGCCCAGGTGCTCCTTGTACACTCAGGTGGAGGTTCTGAAGAGGCTGCTGGGATATCTGGCAGCTGGAGGTGTGCCTTGGGAGTCATTAGCATTTAAGTCCTGAGGTTAGGGGTGAGAATTCAGGGAGAAGAGTTCTACAGACAAAAAATTAGGATGCACCTGTTTAGAGATCCAGAGAAACCTGCAGAGAAGCCTTAGAAAGAACTGCCTGAGGCGGAGGCAGGGGTGAGGGAGAGCCCAGAGAGTGTGCTGTCCCGAGGCCACGAGAGGAACTGGCTCAAACGTCTCCTGACKCTGGCTGACAGTGCACACACCACTCACCTCGCTCCCCTCTCCCTGCTGCCAGGTACTTTGATGCCTTGATGAAACTGCRACAGGGACGTGGAGTAGATGGGACCTTCCTGAGCTGGAATGACCTGCAGGCCACCGTGAGCCAGGTCAACGCCCAGGTCCAAGAAGAGACCGATCGTGAGTATAGTCCAGGCCAGGGGGAAGGCGGTCTCACTAAGGCAGTCCCTTCCCTCGGYCACAGTTCTGGGGCCTCTGCCCATCTTGGTCTCTCTTTCTCAGAGGTCCTTGCAGTCAGTCTTATCAATGAGGCTCTGGACCAGGGCAGCTCTGAGAAGACCCTGTCTGCCCTGCTGCTTCCTGCTGCTGGCCTGGAAGATGTCAGCCTTCCTGTTGCYCCTCGGTATCATCTCCTCCTTGTGGCAGCCAAGAGGCAGAAGGTCCAGGTGAGGTTAGGGCTGGCYGGGTGGGTCACCAGAGCAGGAGGAACAGCCCTGTGGGTACAGCTATGCCCAGCATGCACCCAGGTAGAGCTCCATCCTGATGGCCACACGCCAAGGTGTGGGGCACAGGCAGGATTCAGATCTCACGGGGGAAGCATGGTTCCAATTGCCAGGGCACTGGACAGCTGGGAAGAGCACAGGCCTGCTGCCTCGGGCGCCTGCTACTTTTTAGTTCCCGTTGAGTTCCGAGCCCTGTTGAGGGCAGGGAGAGTTCCTGGRGAGTGGGCATGGAGTGCCRGTGAGAGTTCAGGCAATAAAGTAGTTCCTGTTTGAACCTACAAGTGCCTCGTGGCGGCTTGGTTCTTTTGTGCCCAGCCAGACTGCGGCACCTACCCATACAGGGGACCAAATGTTGCAGTCTGGCTGGGCACCAAATTGAGAGGTCATGAGAACTCAATGGGAACTCAACGGAGAACTCAAAAGGAGAACTCAAAAGTAGCGGCAAGTAGCTGGAGGCTGCAGGAGCMGCCCTATTGCTGGACAGCTGGGGTCTACATACAACTGAATAGACAGCCTGTTTCAATCCAGCATCATCCAGTCACAGCAGTTATACACCGCTTAACTTTATCATCATCTTAATGGCTCCCTGGTGTCAGCTCTCAACCACTCCTTCTGGAAACATGCCAGGCGCCATCCCGACTCAGCTGTGGCTCTCTACAAAGCACTAAGCAACTCAGAGAGACCCTGTCTCTAAATAAAATACAAAATAGGGCTGGGGAAGTGGCTCAGTGGCCAAGTGCCCCTGAGTTCAAATCCCTGGTACCAAAAAAAAAAAAAAAAAGTACTTCAGCAGGACACAGTGGCACACTCCTGTAATCTCAGTGACTTGGACGACTGAGGCAGGGGAATCAAATTCTAGGCCAGCCTGGGCAACTTAGTGAGACCCTGTCTCAAAATAAAAAAGGGCTGGGGATACAGCTCAGTGGTGGAGCACTCGGGTTCAATCCCTAGTACTGATAATAGGATCCTTCTTTTTCTCTCTCCCTTTCTCCCTCCCCTCCCCTCCCCCCAATTCTCTCTGCACCTGGCACATATTTATTAAGAAAATGTTAGTTTCCAACGTCTGCTACTTATGAGGAGAGTTGGGTGTCAGACTGACACTGTCACAGGCACAGGCTGTGTTGTCCTGTGGTCTCACCTCATCTTCCTTCTACCTTGTGGAATTTGTCGGATTGAGGCCTGTGGAGCAAGAACAGTAAGGAGTAGGTAAAGGTTGGGGCCAGGACCAGCCTGAGAAGGTGTGAATTGAGGTGTTGAGAAGTGGGGGTGGGGGCTGGTAGGTGGAGACTCCAGAGTGGGCTGTCCCTAGGCAGGGCTGAGACACAGGGCAGGGAATGGAGCTATTGGGAAGGTGGTAGAGACTGAGATGTTGGTTGGAGTGGTGCACACCTGTAATCCTAGCTACTCGGGTCACTGAGGCAGGAGGATCACAAGTTCAAGACCAGCCTGGACAATTTAGCAAGACCTTGGGAATGCAACTCAGTGGTGGAGTTCAGTTCCTAGTCCTGAGGGAAAAATAAAAAAATATATTGAGGGTATGAGAAGATAGGCAGGTAGAGACCCATGGACAAGTGGAATCAGTGCTTGGGACAGCCTGGATAGAAAAAGAGCCTTCTGAAGTTGAGTGCAATGGCACACGCCTGTAATCCTAGTGGCTCAGGAAGCTAAGCCACTAGGATTAGATTAGGCAGGAGGGGGCTGGGGATGTGGCTCAAGCGGTAGCGCGCTTGCCTGGCATGCGTGCGGCCCGGGTTCGATCCTTAGCACCACATACCAACAAAGATGTTGTGTCCGCCAAGAACTAGAAAATAAATATTAAAATATCTCTCTAAAAAAAAAAAAAAATAGATTAGGCAGGAGGATCGTGAGTTCAAAGCCAGCCTCAGCAGTTTAGCAAGGCTGAAAGCAACCTAGCAAGACCCTGCCTCAAAATAAAAAACAAAAAGGGCTGGGGGTGTTGCTCAGTGGTTAAGCACCCCCAGATTCAGTCCCTAGTATCAGACACACAAAAAAGAAAAAAAGCCTTCTGTGCCTGGGTGCCTGGTGGCAGTCCCAGGGAGCCACAAGGCCATGCCTGCACAGGAAAGAAGGGAATGAAGTTTGCCATTCCTGGGCTCCTGGTGTCTGCCTGCAATTCGGTTCTCCCTGGCTCCTTAGCCCGGGAACCTGGAGAGGTCAGCTTAGGGTCTTATCTTTTTTCTGTCTCTCTCAATTTTCCAGGTGACAGGTGATCCTGGAGCTGTGCTGTGGCTGGAGGAGATCCGCCAGGGAGTGGTCAGAGCCAACCAGGACACAAGCACAGCTCACAGAAGTAAACCAGCTGAGCAGGGGCACTGGGAGGGCAGGGGAGGACACAGGGACTTAGCAGCATCCCAGATAAGCAGCCACCCAGCACCCCCACACCCCACCCCGCCTCTCCCTCCAGCTTCTGAGAGGAGGCAGAACAGGAGGCTTGCTGCCTGCACCACAGGGTGGATTTCCTGGCAAGCAGCAGGGCAGGAAATTCTTAGGAATGGATAGCCTAGCCCACCACTGCTTCCTGCTTTGCCCTCCTGTGGGCGCTTTCCCTGCAACATGAGCCTATAAGATCATGGGGTGGCCCAAAATCCACCCCATTTCTGCTGATCAGTTGAGTTCGCTTCCAACAATGAGCTCTGGCTTGGCTAGAGAATGTTGATCCTGGGGAGGAGAAGAAAGGTTGGCCGGAGTTGGAGGGGAACGGGCAGGATTGACCCTGGTGTGCTGGGGGTACTCAGGGGGCCAGTTTTCAGGGTCTGTGGGGACTGGAGGGCAGGTGCGCATTAGCCCTTCCCACTTCTGTACTCTCTTCTTCTAAGAAACTCTCCCAGAATTCCTTGCCCATATCCTGCCTTTGACCTTGGAATGAGCCAATTTTGCTTCCCCTGAGCGCCTGCCTGCCTGGCCCACCTGCTTCCTCGGGAGCCTCCCGCACGGCCAGCTCCTCCTTCAAGCACAGCACCTGCTGTTGCTCCTCATGACTATCTGTCCATCCTGGGATATCCCCATCTCCATCAGATAGGGTGACCTCATGGCCTTCTATTTTTTTTTTATTTTATATTTATGTGGTGCTGAGGATCGAACCCAGGGCCTCACACCTGCCAGGCGAGCGCTCCACCACTGAGCCACAGCCCCAGCCCTGTCCTTCTTTTTTGAGTCCTGCCCCACGGGGTGGGACAGGGCCTGTGGGAGGGACTTGGAGGGCAGGACTGACTGCTCTCTCCTGTGCCTKTCAGTGGCCCTCGGTGTGGCTGCCATCAACCAGGCCATCAAGGAGGGCAAGGCGGCCCAGACAGAGCGGGTGTTGCGGAACCCTGCCGTGGCCCTCCGAGGAGTGGTTCCCGACTGTGCCGATGGCTACCAGCGGGCCCTGGAGGGTGCCGTGGCCAAGAAGAGGCGTGGAGGTAATGGCCCCGCTGGCCCTCGGCTTCTCTGCCTACCCCGGCCAACTCGTGCCTAATCAAACCTTGTCTGCTTCCTTGGCTCCCGCTCAGGGGACACGGCTTTCTGGGTTCAACATGACATGYGGGATGGCACCGCCTACTACTTCCACCTGAAGACCTTCCAGGGGACCTGGGAGAAACCCCTCAACGGCCACCTCCACACCTCCCACCTGAGTCGTGAGGAGATCCAGGTGGGCAGGGACCCTTCCCGGGCGAGGGGTTACCCTAAAGGAGAGGCCCCTACCTGTCAGAGGACTTAGGCTTTCTCTCCTGCCTCCACAGTTGGCCATCACCAAAGTCACTGCTGCCCATGACCGCCAGCAGCTCTGGAAGGCCAACGTCGGCTTCATYGTCCAGCTGCAGGCCCGCCTCCGTGGCTTCCTGGTCCGCCAGAAGTTTGCTGAGCGTGCACACTTTCTGAGGACCTGGGTCCCAGCCGTCATCAAGATCCAGGTGCATCTCGGCTTTCTAAGTGTCCTGGGCTCCGGCTGACCTGAGCTGTAGGGTGATCACTCCCCTTCCTCCTGACCACGGGGATTGGGAGGTCTTGGGCCTGTAGACGGTGGCGGTAGAGCACGGAGCCTGGAAGGGACAACTGAAGTTGGAAGCCGGCCCTGCCCCTGTTAACTGTGTGACCTTCAAAGTCAYTCTCTCTGCCTGTTTACTCCCAGAAAAATAAGAGATGATGGTAGGGTTGTTACAGAGGTCAGTGAGTGACGTTCAGTGTTTATGAGCAGTGCCTGCAAGCAGGCAGGAACGTGAGGTGACCTGGTTAGTGGCCTCTTCATCACTGTCCAGAGAACGGAAGGGGTGCTTTTTAGCCTCCCCAAAGGAAGAGTGAGGTAAGATTTAGTCAGACACCAGGGGGATGTCCTCACAAGAAAAGGGGGTGTGAGGAGGTGAGAGGGCTGGACTGTGCCTGGGGACAGGGGAGCCTTCCGCCTTTCCTCTGCATCCAGCCAGCCCTTCGGGTTCGTCCACCCTCTGGGTGGTCCAGTGTGGCCTCTGAGGCTGGCCCTCACGCACCTGGCCAGTTGGGAGGATAGCCGGGGGCACTGTGCAAGCCGGGAATAAGGGAGACCTTCCAGGCAGGGATATCTGGAGGACCGCGTGGGGATGTTAGCTTGATCTATTTAGTGCCTCTGAAGGCCCCGCATCTGCAAAGCACGCCACACGGCAAGCAGGGGAGATGGGCTTGAGACCCAGTGAGTGGTCACATCTCTCCCCTTGCAGGAACTGCAGGCGACGTTAGATGTTGTGACAGTCAGGATACAAAGACACCAGCAGAAATACCAAGGGAGACAGATGTGAGCCTGAGACTGGCAGATGACCCTCGATTATGACCTGGGGCCTACAGGGCAGGAACTGAGAGCTCGGGCTTTGAAGTCAGAGGCCAGAGTTTGCCTCCTTGACCTACCCCTTCCAGGTCAAAGACGCCGTCTGTGCCCCTTACCTGCACCCTTCCAGCAGTCAGTTTTCTCGTTGATAATGACGGTACTCGCCTCCTCTGTTGATGGTGGGGAGTAAGTAGGAAATCACGTGGAAGGCTTAGTGGCTCCATTAGTGGTTGCTGTTATGAGATGTTGYGATTAGGGCATTGGTCCCTCAGCTCAGTACAGAGCTTCTGGAGTTTCAGGTAGTGCTCTGAATCATGGGGACTCCCCTCCTGAGCCGAGGCTAGGATTTCACACCTGGAGATGAAGAGCCACACGACAGTGGGAGAGGAGACGGGGATGGTGTGCGTGTTTGTGTGCAGGGGCATTTGTCTCTCATTCTAGAACTGTGGGGTCCTGGATAGAGAGGTAGCTGAGACCCTCAGGCCACTTGCCCTCCAGCCTCAAAGATGAGACTGACTGGGCATGCTGAGATTTCAGTCTTCCCTGAAACCTCTGATCCAGCTGGAACCCAACCAGGGTTCTGAATTCTGACTAGTCCAGATTAGGAAGCATGTGTCTTTTGGTCATTTTTGGTCATTTTGTGGTGCTGGGAATCCAACTTGGGGCCTGGCTTATCTGAGACAGATTCTCTGCTACTGAGCCATGCCCCAGCCCGGGAGGCAGATTATGAAGGAAGCGCTTTGTCGGGGCTGGGTAGGGACTGAGCAGAGAGAGAAACCCTCTGGTGGCAAGTATGGTGGCACACTCCTGAAATCCCAGCAACTTGGAAGGCTGAAGCAGGAAGATTGCAAGTTCGAGGCCAGTCTTAGCAATTTTGTGAGACCCTGTCTCCAAATTAAAAAAGAAAAAGGCTGGGTGCAGTGGTGCACACCTATAATCCCAACGATGCAGGAGACTGAGGCAGGAGGATCACAAGTTCAARGCCAGCCTCAGCAACTTAGCAAGACCCTGTTTAAAATAAAAAATAAAAGGGGCTGGGGATGTAACTCGGAGTTTAAGTGCCCCTGAATTTAATCTTTAGTACCAAAAAAGAAAAAAAGAAAAGCAAAGAGAGAAGAGCCCTCTGCCTTTCCCTACAGTGCCTTCCACTGGGTACATCAGCAGGGGCTGAAGTGGGCGGGGGAGTACAGAGGGCGGGCCGGGGAGTACAGAGGGCAGGCAGGGGTTTGTTGGCCTCTGGCCTCCAACATGGACCGCTGGTGGGGGGCCAGGCTGCCTCTCTTTCATCCTAGCTTAACAGGGACTGAGTAGCCTGAGGAAGAAACCTATCCAGGAGAAGTGGCTTTAGGCAGGATGGGGGGACAACTGGGTGAAGCCACAGCAGTGTCAGTGGTAGAGGACCACCTAGGCTTGCACACTGGGAAATGCTTGGCACTGGCCTAAAAGACAGGAAGAATTTCAGTGTGTAGAGGTAGAGCTGGGGCTGGGGGTGGGCACAAATAGCGATTCAAGGCCACAACCTCATAAGGCGTGAAATGTCCGCTGTGGCCAGCATCCTTAAGATGGTCGAAGACCAGTGGAAAGTCAGGTGGGGGGTGGGCCAGAGGGTCGGGAACTTGTGTCCAAGTGCTATCCAAGTGGTACTTCAGAAAGGTTGATCTCACCCGAGCCTGGGGTGAAAGGAAGAGGTTCCTGGGAAAGACTGAAACAGGAGGGCTGTGAGGTTTACATTTGAGAGAGGAAATGGGGTGTGGCTTGGGGAGGGGTTGGTCAGGTAGACCCTTTGCAGCAGACCAGCCCCGGAGAGGCCAACAGACTGACAGCTATTCAGGAACCTTGGCAGGAAGATTTGCTGAGAGCTGGGGTCCACTGCTGGATGGTGTCATTATAGAGAAAAGTGTGACTTATCAGAACAATAGGAACCTGCTGCCCAGGTGGCCGCTGGCGGAGATGGACACACGGCTCTGTGCCTGTACGCACTTCCCATCCGCAGCTGCATGTTGCTCCAGAATGTTCTCTACCCACTTTCTGTGCGTGTGAGGGAGGGAGTGTGTGATAGGGTGTGGGTGGTCTGCATTTGGGTGTCTTGAGTGTATTTTGGGGGGATATGGTGGATGCTTTGGTGAAGTTGGTGAGTAGGTGTTTGCTCTATTAATAGATCATCTCTTAGGCCTGTTTCTTGCAGTTGAGTTTCCATGAGGGGGTGTTAGTGTGGAGGGGTGGTGTCTGTGTGTCTGTGTCTRTGTCCTCTGGGGCCAGGGAGTGTGCAGGAGACATGGTTGGCTACATGTAACCATTCAGTCTTCCCCATGAAGTGGGAAGTTCTTTGAGAACAGGACCAGATCCCTTCCTCCCTTTCTCCCCACCCTCTCTGCAAACCCTAGGACAGGCCATTCCTGCAGGTCTCTTGAGCCAGAGGACACCTGCTGTGGTTACCTCCTTTTTCTCTCCTGCTCTGCAGGCTCACTGGCGGGGTTATAGACAGCGCAAAATTTACCTGGAACAGTTGCAGTATTTTAAAGCAAACCTGGATGCCATAGTCAAGGTAGGTATCGTGGCTTGGTGGGTTTCTGAATTTTGAGGGACGCTCTGAGAACAATTCTGTAGTCCTCTCGCAACCCTGTGACCTGGAGTTGGCTGGGTTGGCCTGGGTCTGTGGCTGGGTCTCTAGCCTTGGGCTCTGAGGCAGCATCTCCTCCCAGATCCAGGCCTGGGCCCGGATGTGTGCAGCTCGGAGGCAATACCTGAGGCGCCTGCGCTACTTCCAGAAGAATGTGAGTGTCACCCTGGTCCCCTGGCCCCTAGTCCAACCTTTGCCCAKGAGACCAGAGCAAGGACAGCCAGCCACCTTGTTGCCGTCTGTGTTCCCGGCAGGTGGACTCCGTTGTGAAGATCCAGGCATTTTTCCGAGCCAGGAAAGCCCGGGATGACTACAGGATGTTAGGTGAGCTGCCCGGCCTATCCTGCCCCTCTTGATGGGGCCATAAGACCCCAGAGCCAGGCAGGTCTAGGTGGTCCTTCTTGGGGTGCACAGCAGTTAGGGGACAGGCATTCACAAGTTGCCCGTGCAGGAGTGTGGAGCGGGGGTGGTAACACAGTAACAGCCCGTTGCAGGCAAAGGGCCTCACGCCAGGTCCTCTCTGCTTCCGGCGTATCTACCACAGCAGACCAAAACGACAAGATTCCCCTCCTCTCCCTGGGGCTCCCACCTTCTCCAACTCTGTCGCTTCCCTGGCCCGTGACTCTGCCACCTCACTTTGTGGCCCCCACACCTGAGGCCTTAGCAAGGCGGGCAGTCTTTGTACCACACAGGGGAACTTGGAAAGCACTGGAGGGGGCGCCATCTTCCTGCCCTTTATTTCCCAAGAACACCCTTCTCTGCTGCTCTTGGCCCCGTCCCTCAAATCCAGAAGCCTAGCCTTGAGGTGCCTTTCTTTTCTGTGGAATTGACTAGTGTCATCTCCGTGTTTACCTCTGGCCCCGGTCCTGCGGCCCCCTGCCTCTCTGGCTGGAGGCTATGCACTCTTGGGCTTCACGTTGAACGTGCCATCTAGAGTCCCCTCCCTCACTCCTCAGTCCTCTTTCCCCCTTCTTGCCCTTCAGGGGCCTCGGGCATCTCCAGGGCAGCCAGCTTCCTTCCCTGCCCACCTCTCCCAGCCTGGCTGTTGCACTAACACAAGACCGTCCTTTATCTTTTCAGTTCTTGATTTTTCTAGAAAAATTTGTTCTTCCCGGTCTTGTTTCCCAACTTCTTCAGCCTCCAGACTCTTCCCAGAGCTCTGCCACTTGCTAGTTGTGTGGCTCAGACAAGTTACCTAACCTCTTTATTGCCTCAGTTTCCTCCTTTACACGGTAGAGATGGTGACACCCATCTCGTAGGGTCATCAGTAAGATGGATGGTTATGGTGTCTGGACCTCGTGGAGTGATTTTAAAACACTTAGAACAGTGTGGCGCACCCCTGTAATCCCAGCAACTTGGGAAGCTGAGGCAGGAGAATCATGAGTTCAAAGCCAGCCTCAGCAATTTAGTGAGGCCCTAAACAACTCAGTGAGACCCTGCCTCTAATAAAATATAAAGGGCTGGGGATGTTAAGGTCTGGCTCCATGGTTAAGCACCCCTGGGTTCAATCCCCAGAACCCCTCCCCCCMAAAAAAAGAAAAAAACCAAAGCCCTTATCATGACGTCCATCCTATAGTGGACGTTGTCTGCATTGGTGGCTTGGCAGCTCAGAGCTGCTGCTTCCTCTTCTTCCTCTTCTGTTGCTCCTCCTCTCCTCCCACCTTTTCTCTGTCTTTCTCTGACCTCCCTGTATTATGGAACACGTCAACCGCCCCATCTCTTGGGCTCCCCTGCATACACAGACCCTCCCCACAAGAGCTCTGTGCCAGGCAGCGGGGCCAAGAGGAGGCTGGTCAGTGCGAGGAGAAGCAGCTCAACCCAGTAAGAGGGGGATGGATGGGAGGAGGCCTCCAAGGAAACCCGGAGGGAGTTGGGCTCTGGCTGTGGTGTGGCAGGTCACCTACAGAGGGCAAGGAGCACATCAGGGCAGAAGAACAGCTCCCTGTCCACCCCAACTGTAAGACAAGGAGCCCAGGGACAGGCCTGGCCGGGAGACAGAGCCAGTTAGAGCAGATCTGAAGTTCAGGGCCTGTGGCCTCGAACAGAGGTCAACAGAGGGGCCTGAGGGCGAGCTGACTGGAGTGGAGAGAGGCTGGGGGAGGCCTCTGACCCCACACCTCTGCCCTCCGGCAGTGCACTCAGCCCACCCCCCGCTCAGTGTGGTGCGCAGGTTTGCCCACCTCCTCAACCAAAGCCAGCAGGACTTCTCAGCCGAGGCCGAGCTGCTGAAGCTGCAGGAAGAGGTGGTCAGAAAGATCCGCTCCAATCAGCAGCTGGAGCAGGACCTTAACCTCATGGACATCAAGATCGGCCTGCTGGTGAAGAACCGGATCACCCTACAGGTGAGGGGCCCTCAGCCCCACACAAACCCCCACCGCCAAATCCAGCTGCCTCTGGGGAGGGCACCTTGGCCAGTCTCTGGTTGCTGATGAAATCTTTTCAAAATGTGTTGATTTTTTTTCACTAAAGCCTGAGTCCTGTTCCAGTGGTCCTCTGGCCTTGCAGTGAGCCATTGGCTGGGGATGTGGGCAAGAACAGGGGAGGTGGAATTGGAATGTCCGGCTCTGCCGCCTGCTAGTGAAGAGCTGTGGGTGGTCATTTCACCTCTAAGCCTGTTTCCTATTTAGGAAACTGAAATAATAAGAGTGTTTACCGCCCCACCCTCAGGCCACATGTGAAGGTAAATATGGAAACTTCTTAAACTGTTAACGGACGTACAAACATGCAGTGAGAAGATGGTAGTGACACTGTGATATTGCCCTCAAATTTGCATAACAGTCTAATACGAAATAATAGCAAACTGGGCACAGTGGCACACACTTGTAATCCCAACCCCTAGGAAAACTGAGGCAGGAGGATTGCAAGTTTGAGGCCAGCCCTGGACAACTTTGGAGACACCCTGCCTCAAAATAAAAAACAAAAAAGGAGGCCAGGTGCAGTGGTGCACACCTGTGATCCCAGWGGCTCAGGAAGCTGAGGCAGGAGTATCACAAGTTCAAAGCCAGCCTCAGCAACTTAGCAAGGCCCCAAGCAATTTAGTGAAACCCTGTTTTAAAATAAAAGATAAAAAAATATAAAGGGCTGGGGATGTGACTCAGTGGTTAACAGCCCTGGCTTCAATCCCCAGTACCAAATTAACAATAATAATAGTAATAATTAAAAATAAATAGGACTGGGCTGGGGCTCAGTGGTGGAGCCCTTGCCTAGCATGTGGGAGGCCCTGGGTTTGATTCTCAGCACTGCATATAAATACATTTTTAAAATGACCATTGACAACTAAAAAAAAATTTTAATTAATTAATTGACTTAAGGTATTGTGTCCATCTACAACTAAAAAAAAAAAATTAATAAATAAATATACATAAATAAGGGCTGGGAATGTAGCTCAGTGGTAAAGTGTCCCTGGGTTCAATCCCCAGTCTTGAAGGGGGGAAAAAAAAAAAAGAGAGAAAGAAAGCAAAACACAAGTAGACACAATCCCTCCAGCCTGGCAGCCGGGTCCTCTTTGGGGACTCACTCCTGTGAAAGCAGAGGTGCCAGATGGAGTCTGGGCAGTAGGAGGGGCCCTCCCTCGCCCCAGAACCGCTGCTCTTTCCTGGCTCACGCCTGTTCCCTGAACAGCAGAGAGCCCTGGCCCGTCCAGGCGCTGATTCTAGACCATATGTTCCGTGTGCGGTGCTGGCCTGGGCTGGTCGCATTGCCTGCTCTCCTGTGCCTGCAGGAAGTGGTCTCCCACTGCAAGAAGCTGACCAAGAAGAATAAGGAGCAGCTGTCAGATATGATGGTTCTGGACAAGCAGAAGGGATTAAAGTCGCTGAGCAAAGAGAAACGGCAGAAACTAGAAGCTTACCAGCACCTCTTCTACCTGCTCCAGGTGAGCAGAGGACTTTGGAAGGAGAAGTCTCTACCACCCCCTCAGGGCCCAAGACCTTTTCTGTGTCTTTTCCCCCTTGCAAGGTATCCTTTCCCATAATCCTAATGCCCCATCCCTGGGGGAGAGACTGTCTGCTTCCTAAGACAGTGAGACTACTTTCTCCAATCTGGGTTCCATATCAGCCCTTCCTGTCTCCCCAACTGTTTGCAGACTCAACCCATCTACCTGGCCAAGCTGATCTTTCAGATGCCACAGAATAGGACCACCAAGTTCATGGAGGCAGTGATTTTCAGCTTGTACAATTACGCCTCCAACCGCCGGGAGGCCTACCTGCTGCTCCAGCTGTTCAAGACTGCGCTGCAGGAGGAAATCAAGTGGGTACTCCAGATGCAGAGGAGGAGAAAGGGTGGGCTCAGAGCTGATGCCCCTGGGACTCCCTCACAAGGGACGGCTCCACTGGGCACAGTGGCGCACACCTGTAATCTCAGTATCTTGGGAGGCTGAGGTCAGAGGATCATGAGTTCAAAGCCAGCCTCAGTAATTTAGTGAAGCCCTAAGCAACTCAAGGAGACCCTGTCTCTAAGTAAAATATAAAACAGGGCTGGGGATGTGGCTTGAGAGTCCCTGGGTTCAATCGTGGTACCGAAAAACCACACAAGATGATGGCTTGTTGAGGTGCAGGGTAGACTGGCAGCAGAAGCCCAGTCTTCTCTGCCTCCGTGGAAGGACTGTAGGGCATTTCCCGGTAGCACAGTGGGCCGACATGGGCTGACATATTAACAAAAAGGATGAAACCGAGATAGCAGGTCATTTCTTAAGATAAAGACACTATCTGGGCATGGTGGTGCATGCCTGTAATCCCAGTGACTCAAGAGGCCGAGGCAGGAGGATTGCAAGTTTGAGCAACTTAGCGAGACCCTGTCTGGAAATAAAAAATAAAAAGGATGTAGCTTGGTGGTAAAACACCCCTGGGTTCAATCCCCAGCACCAAAAAAAAAGGGACACCAGAGCAAAATCCCAAAAAGGAAAAGCAACTATCTGTCCTACACAGAGCGGAGACCAGCTGCACTGATCTTTTGAACCACAGGTCAAAGGTGGAACGGCCCCAGGACATAGTGACAGGCAACCCAACGGTGGTGAGGCTGGTGGTGAGATTCTACCGTAATGAGCGGGGACAGAGCGCCCTGCGGGAGATCCTGGGCAAGGTTATCCAGGATGTGCTGGAGGACAAAGGGCTTAGCATCCACACGGACCCCGTCCACATCTACAAGAGCTGGATCAACCAGACTGAGGCCCAGACGGGGCAGCGCAGGTGAGCAGATGGGCAGAGGAGAGCTCTCTCTGATCAGCTTCAGCTGGACCTCACTGGGGAAGCCTGGGTGTGTTTGAAGGTGACATAGGGATGAGCATGCTGATTCATGCAAATATGACACCACCCCTATAGGAGTAAATAAGGTAGCCTTTCAGACCCGCTCTGGTGATTGACACCGGTGGGTGGGCTCAACATAAAGTGGGCACACATGACTATGCTAGTGTGCCTCATAGCTGTGGGAGTTAGGATGTAGACTTCTTATTGATAGGGGATCATATGAATATTCAGATTTACAGATAAATTAGCAAATGAGAACATGGAAGTAATAGGTTATCCTTGTAGGTTGGGGGCATTGCTCAATTTCACAGGTGCTAGGGAAATGGATCCAGTGAGGAGATCTGGCAATCCCAGTGGCTGCTCTGGATGGCATAGGAGGCTATAAGTGAGGGAAATACAAGTCCCCAACTTTCCCTGTTGTCCCAAGTGCCAAAGACTATTTGATGGGGCAATGGCGCACACCTGTCATCCCAGTAACTTGGGAGGCTGAGGCAGGAGGATCACAAGTTCAAGGCTAGCCTTAGCAACTTAGCAAGACCCTGTCTCAAAATAAAAAATAAAAAGGGCTGGGGATGTAGCTCAGTGGTAAAGTGCCCCTGACTTTAATCCCAAGTTCCATACACACACAGACACACCTCGATGGGCAGTCCCCTTATTTCCTCTGGTTCCCTTAGGAGTCTTGACAAATTCTAGGTTCTCCCTTCCTTCCCACACTCTCCAGCCTCTCGTGGGTACGCTAACTCTTCCTCCCCTGCCACACAGTTCTGTAAACCTCCCTGAGTCCTTAGCAAGTCAGTGTGAAACCCTGGTGTTGGGGGAGAGAGGCAGCAGGAGGGGCTCTGGCTTCACCTGGTCTCTCTGCCCACAGCCGGCTCCCCTATGACGTCACCCCCGAGCAGGCCTTGAGCCACCCCGAGGTCCAGAGAAGGCTGGACATCTCCCTGTGCAACCTCCTTGCCGTGACTGACAAGTTCCTCGTGGCCATCGTTTCTTCTGTGGACCAAATTCCGTAAGTAGGACTGCTGTGCCGCAGGCTCGGCACTGGATGCCCAGGGCAGCCATCAGGGGAGGGCGGAAGCCAGAGAGGGGAGTGAGGCTGGAGGTGCCCGAGCCGGCCGGGAGCCACTGCCAGGGTGGAATTCAGCGGCGGGTCTGTCGCATTGGAGGTCACGGGAGCCAGAGCAGGGAACCTGAGATGATGATGGGGACATTACTGTCTGAGCAAATGGGGATCAAATGGAACTCTTTGATCCACAAAGTCAAACAGAAGAAATACTTCGAAACAGTAAAGCACCTTATAGTTTTTCCCTTCTTAAAACTTAGTCAATAAAAGCTTTTGAAAGTCATCTGACTAGAGCTGAGTATGGTGTTGCACATTTGTAATCCTAGCTGCTTGGGGGGCTGAGGCAGGAGGATCTTGAGTTCAGAGCCAGCCTCAGCAACTGAGCAAGGCCCTAAGCAACTCAACAAGACCCTGTCTCTAAAGAATGGGTGGGGTTGTTGCCCCTGGGTTCAATCCCCAGTACCAAAAAATTAAAAAATTAAAATAAGCTAGAAAAGGACAAGAGTGGTCATTGCCACTTTCCAGACCAGAGAACACATCCTCAGAGGGAAAGGAAAGGGCCTGAAGTCTCCGGCTGGTGAGCAGTCGGACCGGAGTGTCCACTCCTGTTCATTGACCTCCTTGGGCAGGCCCTGCCCCGGCCCCGGCAGGCCCTGCCCCGGCCCCGGCAGGCCCTGCCTCGGCCCAGACAGGCCTCTCACAGCTCCTAAGATCCCTGACAAGATTGGCTGCCTCTGGGGCTGGGTCGTGGCTCAGTGGTAGAGCACTCGCCTAGCATGCGTGAGGCACTGGGTTCGATTCTCAGCACCGCGTATAAATAAATGAATAAAATAAAGGTCCATCAACAACTAAAAAAAAATATTTAAAAAAATAGAGCCTCCTGGGTTGTCTTGGGCCAGTGTTGTGTCTATGAATGCCGGATACCCCAAGGGGTAGGTTAAAGCCTCCCTGGGGAAGGCCAGGGATAGGTGACCTAGGTATTCTGCAGAGGAGCCGGGAGTCTCAAAGGAGAGACTCTCCAGCCGTGTTGGAGGCAGCGGGAGAGCTTTAGTAGATGACCAGGCCCTGTCTCTGACAAGGCTCAGAGGTGTTGGAGGATGGCCGCAGGGGCCTGCCTGTGGAAGTGGAGGGACGGGGATCGGGCTCAGCTTTGGTGAGGCTGGGAAGGCAGAAGCAGCCAGCCAGCCAGGCCACGCTCTGGCTAGGGATGGCAGAACCAGCAGACCTACTGCTTTTCCCCAGCTATGGGATGCGGTATGTGGCCAAAGTTCTGAAGACAACCCTGGCAGAGAAGTTCCCCGATGCCACAGAGACTGAGGTCTATAAGGCAAGTGTCGTCTCCCCCTCCCCCTCCTGAGCCCTGCTGGCGCCGTACTCCCCAGACAGGCAAAGGGACAGAGAACCCTGTGCTGTAAAATCTAAGGAGGAAATATGCTCCCCCCTGTGAACCGAGCCTCGCCCGTCAGCAGGGCTTCCCGCAACAGAAAGGAACCCAGAAAGGAACCAGGGCCTGGGTGGCTTCTTAGGAGACATGGGTTCTAGACACGCCTCCTGCTCAAGTTTGATGCATGACCTTGAGCAAATTGCCCACCTGCTCTGGGTCTGGTTTCTTCTCTGCCAAGTAAGGGGTTGGCCCAAGTGGTCCCTTCTAGCTACGAGAGCTGGGAATATAGAGGGGTAGCTGTGAGGGTGGCCTCTGGGCGTTTCTGGGAAAGTGCCTCTGCCCTTAGGTGGTGGGGAACCTGCTGTACTACCGCTTCCTGAACCCTGCTGTGGTGGCTCCTGATGCTTTTGACATCGTGGCCCTGGCAGCGGGCGGTGCCCTGGCCGCCCCCCAACGCCATGCGCTGGGGGCCATAGCCCAGCTCCTGCAGCACGCGGCGGCTGGCAAGGCCTTCTCTGGGGAGAGCCGGCACCTGCAGGTGCTGAATGACTACCTGGAGGAGACACACCTCAAGTTCAGGTCTGGCCCTGGCATCCCGTTGCCCTCTGTCCTTTCTCTCCATTCCCACGGCCCGTGGCCCACTTCTCCCCTGTGGAGAGCATGAGGGAGGGAGGGAGGCACAGGGGTGAGAGGCGTGGTGACCAGGTGGGGGCCAGGCGGTGGGAGGGCTGCCCAGGGGAGGGGGAGGGCTATATTAGAGGAGGTTGGTTTGAGTGGGACACTGGGACAGAGCCAGGGCAGGAGCTGAGACTGGAGAGTCAGAAGTGGTCCCAGCGGTCGCTAGAGAGGGTCAGGGAAGGAATGACGGGGACAGAACACCGTGGGGATGCCAGCCCTCCCCATCTCACTTGCCCTCCCTYTGGGGACAGGAAGTTCATCTGCAGAGCCTGCCAGGTGCCAGAGCCAGAGGAGCGCTTTGCGATGGACGAGTACTCAGACATGGTGGCTGTGGCCAAGCCCATGGTGTACATCACGGTCGGGGAGCTGGTCAACACGCACAGGGTGAGGGGCCGGGACAGAAGGATGCCGGCTAGGTGGGGAGGGGGTTGGAAGCCCATGGTGGGCAGGCTGGTCCCAGAAGGAAGGCCTTGCTGGGTCCCTGCAGCTTCTGTCCTTCCTCTGCCATAGCTGCTGCTGGAGCACCAGGACTGGGTGGCTCCTGACCACCAGGACCCCCTGCACCAGCTCCTGGAGGACCTTGGGGAGCTGCCCACCATCCCTGACCTCATCGGTGCGTGCCCCCCCGCCCCGGCAGCTGGGACCTGCCAAGAGGGAGGGACAGGAAGGGGCAGTGGGAGGGCACGTGGGCATGTCTGCTCAGCCTGGGGTACGTGCCAGCAGCTGGTGATGTCTCCCTCCCTCGCCTCCCTGTCCTGAGGTGGACAYGGGCCTGCAGACTGACCTGGAGAGAGTGGACAGATCCCAGGGGGACCCACTCCCATTATGTCGATGGCCAGTTCAGTCATGTGCAAGAGACATGGAGGGACAGGGCCTTTCTGGGGTCCCAGAAGGTTTCTCTGATAAGGAGGAATTTCAGGCTGAGGAGTGAGAGGAAGATGTCTCCAAGGGTAGGGGACGGAACGAAGGGGTTGGGGGAGAGCAGGGGCACCAGGCTGTGGAAGGGACGGCCCAGCCCCCTCTCTGGCCCCCAGGGCTGAGGTGTGGGGAGCATCACCAGCAACGCAAGGTCCTTCCGTGGCACTCAGGTCGAGGGTATCGTGTGGAACTATGGGGCAGCCCGGGAAGGGCTCCTGGGAGAGGGTGTGGGGAGCCCGGTGCTGGGACCCCATCTGAGCACTGTCCCTCTCGTTCCCCAATCCACCCAGGGGAGAACATAGCTGCAGATGGGCACGTGGATCTGAGCAAGCTCGAAGTGTCCCTGACACTCGCCAACAAATTCGAAGGGCTTGAGGCAGAGGCTGACGACACCAAGGCCCAGAGCCTGCTTCTAAGGTGGGTGTGGTGGCCCCTGCCCCCCTGAGACCCTCCCTGGCCTTGCGCCCCATACTGTGGCTCCACTTTCCTGTTGGCCCCTGAGCCTAGGAGGTGCTCCCTGAAGCTCAGCTTGAACTCCCCTTGCTTCCGTCTCAGCCCTCTGCCACCTTAACTTTGTGCTCGGGTTATGGCTGAAGAAAAGGACGGTTCAGAAATGGGCGACAGCCAAGCCTGTCACCCCAGCTGCTCGGGAGGTTGAGGCAGGAGGATCATAAGCCCAAGTTCAGCCTGAATAACTTACCAAGCTCTTGTCTCAAAAAGAAAATTAAAAGAGAGAGAAAGAAAAGAAAATGTAATAAATCAGTCCTTGGTAGAGCACCTGCTAGTTCACACAGGCCCTGGGTTTGATCTCCAGCACCACACACACAAAAAGGGAAAAAGAAAGGTTTAAGCAAATCCTATAATCTTAAATAAGACGTTGCCTTAGTTGGGAAAGGTGGAGCATGCCCGYAATCATAGTGGCCTGGAGGATCACAAGTTCAAAGCCAGCCTTGGAACTTAGTGAGGCTCTAAGCAACTTAGGGAGACTCTGTCTCAAAGTAAAAAATAAAAAGGGCTGGGGATGTGGCTCAGTGGTTAAGCRCCCTTGGGTTCAATCTCTGATACAAAAAAAAAAAGACCATGACTTAAAATAAAGAAAGGGTTGGGGCTATAGAATGCCCCTAGGTTCAATCTCCAGTCCCCGCCTCCAACCCCCCCCCCCAAAAAAAAAAAAAATATGGACAACAATCAGAGTTTGAATATTGTGCTATCTATACAATTTTTGTAACTAGAAAATTTTCTGTGGGTGGTACTGGGGATTAAATCCAGGGATACTCTACCACGTAGCTACATCCGAGTCAGGGTCTCACTAAGTTGCTGAGGCTGGCCTTGAACTTGTGATTTGCCTGCCTTAGCCTCCTGAGTTGCTGGGTTTGCAGGCAGGTCCTGCTGTGCCCAGCCAAATTCTTTTTAATGCCAGCGTTTAGGACAAGCTATGGGTGGTGGTTTCCCTCTTCATAGCTAAAGCAAGGAACTCAGTCGGTAGGAGACTCCTCCAAAGTCCCACAGGCCGTGGGTGAGGGAGCTCACGTTCTCATTCCCATTCCTGTGATAATAAGGATGGGGCGCGGGGCTTTTCTTCTTCACCCCACTGCTGCAAGAGTGAGGCAGGACCCCAGCAGGACTGGGCCAGTCACCTGGGCAGAGGAGGAGCCAGGCAACCAGATAGTCTCCTGGCCAACGAGGCAGCTGCTTCCATTCACTTATTTGCTCAGTAAACGAGCCAGCAAGGCCTGTGCTTGGTCCTCATCAGAGCGCACAGTAGGGTGGGCTGGGCAGAACACAGCCACCAGGAGAAGGAGGTTCCAGGTACCCTGAGAGCGCTGCAGAAGGGACACCAGGGCTGCGAGGAGGACGTGTCCCTCAGAGGAGGACGTGTCCCTCAGAGGAGGACGTGTCCCTCAGCCGAAGGACTCCAAGGAAGACACTCTGAGGGAGAGGTGTCCTTGGCCACACCCCTCTCCCCCCGCCCCCACCCAGCCCTCACTCTCTCCTTACCCACCGAGGGCCCCAGGCAGCTGTGATATGGGGCAGGGTACGCCCACCCTCTGGTCCAGGCCCTGTCCTGCCTCTCCACTCCCTTCCACCACTCCTTCCCTCCACAGCACCAAGCAGATGTTGGCCGATATCATACAGTTCCACCCTGGGGACTCCCTCAAGGAGATCCTGTCCCTCTCAGCTACCGGAGAGCAGGTGAGTGGCCAGGTGACCAGGCCAGCCCACCCACAGCTTCTGCCTCATTCACCCACCTCACTCCCTCTGCGCTGCTGGTTCGCATGGCTGGCTAAAACGGGCCCGGCCTGCCCGTGACAGGGCTCCGAGGCCAAGCATCTGCCCTCCACCCTGAGCAGGCTGGGGAGCAGCCTTGCCTCAGGTACCTCGGATTGCCGGGTGGTGGAGGCCATGTCCCTCCCACTCCCCACGCTGAAATGAGCTTTCCTGCGGGGTCTGCTGTGCTGGGGCCGCAGGGGGCATTCCAAGAGGTACTTGGAAGAGTGCAGAAGGGTTTCGCTCCCCAAATGACGGCTGCAGGCAGGAGAGGGTGGGAAGTGGGTGGGGGCTGGGGCCAGCTGGAGTAAAGACGAAGCCGGGCTCCCCAGAGGAAAGGGGTGATGGCAGTAGAGGCAGGTCCTCAAGTAGAGCAGGGAGGGAGGTGCCCCCGCACCCTGAGCGGCACAGAGCTCCATGGTTGGGAAGTCACAGCCATGTCCATCCAGATGTTTTATGCTGCAGCCTCTGTCTGGTTCTCCTGGGGGCCCCTCCATCCTGTRGCAGTGCACGAGGCCTGTCCGTGTGTCACACCAAGTGTCAGGATGTCACACTCTGATGTTTTCCACTGCTAGGCCCTTTCCCACCACTGTTCCCCCCAGAAGCTAGGCTCTGGGGGTGCTTTCCCTGGGTTGCTGGGGTCCCTGGCCTGTCCTGGTTGGGGGGAAGAATGGCGTCCCATCCAGCATCTCTGCCCCTAGGAAGCAGCCCACAAGCGTCTCATGAGCCGACGCCAGGCCTGTGAAGCCCAGACCCCCGAGCCTCTGCGTCGACACCGCTCCTTAAYGGCTCACTCCCTCCTGCCCCTGGCAGAGAAGCAGCGGCGTGTCCTGCGGAATCTGCGTCRACTAGAGGGCCTGGGGCTGGTCAGTGCCCGCGATGGCTATCAGGGACTGGTGGATGAGCTGGCAAAGGTAATGACCTGGGTCTGAGTTCTGGGTATCTGCACGCAGGCACCTGTGTATGTRCGTGCGAATGCTTGCACACACCTGTACCAGGTACCTGCACACCGGCCTGAGGGGTCCATGGGCAGGCCTGTCCCTGGTGAATGCTACCCAAGATTGTCACCTGCCAGAGGAAGGACAGGGTTCTTTTCAAAGAAAACGTCCTAAATTTAGCCAGGGAAGGGGATGTTCTTCCAGTTCTTTTACTAAGAAACGAGGGGCCTGGAAACCAGTCAGAGTCGCGAATGCCTTAAGGGCCTGGGATGGCATCCTCGAGATTGTCTCCTAGGAAAAACAGTGGAACTCTGCCTCTTCCTGCTCTTCCTAACATCCTCCAGTGAGTGTTTCGCAGCCTGTCAGGCCCTGGGGGGGAGGGCCAGCTGACCCCCTCCCTCGGTCCCAAACTCCAGGACATCCGCAACCAGCGCAGGCACCGGCAGCGGCGGAAGGCGGAGCTGGTGAAGCTTCRGGCCACGTTCCAGGCCCTGAGCATGAAGACGGCCTTCTACGAGGAGCAGGGCGACTACTACAGCCAGTACATCCGGGCCTGCCTGGACCACCTGGCCCCCAGCAACAAGTAGGTGCTGCCGCCCTGCACTTGGAAGTTACCTGTGACCGCTACCCTGCCCACGCCCCCCTCTGCCCTGTCTCCCAGTTTGGAGCTGGGAATCTCAGCACAGCAGCCCCCTCCTTTGTCTCCCACCCTGAGTGAGGCACCTTCCTCGGGCCTCGGTTCCTTCCTGCATCCCGGGGAACAAGGGCCTGTGGTGCTGGAGAGCTTGTTGGATGAGTCCTTTGGGCCCTTCTTTTCATCAGGAGCTCCAGGAAGGGGAGGAAGCAGCCATCTCTTCATTACACTGCTGCCCAGCTCCTGGAGAAGGGCGTCCTGCTGGAAATCGAAGATCTCCCCACCTCTCAGTATGTGTGTTTGGAAGGCAGGATGTCAGCCCTTCCTGTCCCCTGTTGGGGACGGCTCTGGGCAGGGCACAGGGTAGCAGGGGGTAGAAGGGAAGGAGGAGCGTGGGCCCTGCCTTGAARGAACCGCTGGCGTGACTGTGCAGGCAGGGCACCCAGAGTCGAGGACCGTGAACGTGGTGTAGGACGGTTCTGGATGGACTCAGGGTGCTGGGAATGGTTCCGGAAGTGAGGACACCAGGCAGGATCAGCAGGACAGATAACCTGTGAGCAGATGCAGAACTGGGAGAAGACAGAGCTGCCCCCAGCCCACCCTGCCCCTGCTCCACCCTCCCCCCACTCCACCCACCCAGGGAGACAGACGGGAAGACTGGGCTCTGGATGTCGCACACTGTCACCCAGGAAGAGAAGCAGCAAGAGCCAGGTTGTAGCTCTGGAAAGAGGCCATGGGTCCCTGTTTTGAATTCTGTTCCCGACAGCTTCAGAAATGTCATCTTTGACATCACCCCTGGAGATGAGGCAGGAATGTTTGAAGTCAACGCCAAGTTCCTGGGTGTGGACATGGAACGATTCCAGCTTCACTATCAGGTGAGGGGACACTCCATGACCCTCAGGACACCCAGTGGTGGGCTTTAGGTGCTGGCCTCAAGAGGATGGCCACCTGACTTCCCTAGGCCTCATGACTTCCGCTTGGCTCTCCACCCCATCAGCGGGAGGTCCGCTGCCCTGACACAGACACCAGCACTACCCTCGGGGACAGTGGAGTGGCTGGTGGTGTCGGAAGCCCTGTCACATGTACCTCATTTAGTCCCCTCCGCTGCTCTGAGGCCAGCGTCATCCCTGGTTTACAGTCCCTGGGGCTCAAAGGTCAGGAAGCCAGCCTAAGTCAGAGCCGGTGTTCAGGGAAACGGGTTTTAAATCCAGATCTTTCTGCTCTGCCGTTTTGCCTTTTGAGTGAAAAGACTGATTTCAACCCCGCTCTGCCCACGTTGCTGCTCTGCCCAGTGACCGCACCCCTCTTGGCCTTGGCCGCCCTGTTTGTGAAGTGGGTTTTCAGGGCCCTGTCTCAGTGGCATTCAGCCAGTGCCACCTGTGGTGAGGGAAGGCTGCCTGGGCCGCAGCCAGAAGCCCTCAGCYGCCCTGCCCTGCCCTGCTTCCTAGGACCTCCTGCAGCTCCAGTATGAGGGCGTGGCTGTCCTGAAGCTCTTCAACAAGGCCAAGGTCAACGTCAACCTTCTCATCTTCCTCCTCAACAAGAAGTTCCTGCGGAAGTGATGGAGGCAGTGGGTCCAYGCCAGACGCCCTCACCTTGCTGGACGTCCTTCCTCGACACTAACCTGCCACGGTCCCCGCAGACATGCCCAGAGCTCAGGACGGCCAAGGCTCAGGGACTCTCCCCCAGTCCCGTTGCCAGAGTCCGCCTCCCTGGCCACACAGTATTGCTTCTTATGGCGGAAGTAGGCCTGGCCTCTGGGTCTGGCTGCGTGGCTCTTACCACACAGGACCAACCCGTGATTCCCCAGCCAGTGGGGGATGAGCCTAGGGCTTCCACCTTTCCTGGGAAGGTGGCTGCTCTTGGGTCTGCCACTGCCTCCCGGGGTCACCCCAATATTACAAGCACTGTCCCGGCAGCCTGATTTCCCCTCTCCCTGCCTTCTCTCTGCAGACCTCCAAAGCCTGGGCCGGGCTCCAGACCCTGCCTCCCACTCCATCAGCAGGGGCTGATCCTGCCCTAGCCCGGCCTCGCTGCGGCTCAACACCACAGCACACGTTCCGACCCCTCGCCCACACCCCCGCAGGGACCAGGGAATGCAGTGTCTATGGGYGCCCATGTGGCACCCTTGTCCTCTGGGGCAGGATGGGCAAGGTGGCCTTCCATGACCCTCCAGCCTCGCCGTGTTTATGGTCTGTTTATATGTGGGTCCCTGGGGTATTTATTTTCTCTCCCATCCTTCTGCTCCAAGCCAGCGTACAGCCTTAATCACGATTTTAATTCTTTCATCTTCTTGAGCTCAAAGAAAGAGTTCTCATTTGCCCTGTTCAAACTAATATCCATGCTGGTCTTTCCACCCGGTGTTGCAGTCACCTTGGGTCAGGGCAGTAGGGTTCCTGCTGGTGTTTAAAATCTCGTTATCTCAGCTTCCTACGGTACAAAGAGCTGTCTCACTTTTCCCTCCCACCCTCAGGACTCTTATGCCTTACAGCTGTCTCCTCGGGTTCTACAGATCTGCAGGCTCACTCTGCCACTCTCTGTCCACCCCACCTCTCCCAACTTCCTGTCCCTGTTGCCCTTCTGATTTCTTCTTAATAAAAGCAGCTGTCAGCCTCACATCTGTTGTTAACCCCTTATTTCATTTCCTGCAGAGTAGGCCTCAAGTTCTGGGCTCCGCTCCCCCAGCCCCCTCCTGCCTCGGGTGTGGGCCCCCTCTGCCTGCCTGAGCTCGCAAAGGCTTAATGAGATGTGGCACTTGTCCCTCTCTTCCCTCCCCCGGGGACAAAGAAGAGGAAGGAATGCTTAGGTTTCGATTCTGTGTTTTTGGCCACTCAGAAGACTAAAGCTCGGAGAAGAAACCTGCCCAGGCTCTTCCCACACACTGTGCCCACAGTTCCAGCAGGTCCCTTTCCTGGGCCTTGAGTGACAATACCAAAGGTACCTGAGCCACACTCTGGGTACTGCAGGTCCTATGCTGTGACCAAGATCCCCTTTCTGCTGGAAAAGCGCCCTTTCTCTCTCCCCTGCATTTGGGAAGTGAGGAGGGGGCACGCGCGCACGCACACACACACACACACACACACACACACACACACACCCCTGCCCTGACATCTGAACTCCCCACAGCCCCTACTGGGCACCCACGCTTGCCTGGCGCAGCCTGCCTCTCTCCACTTTATTCCGTTCTGTCACTCAGGATCTGTCTTGCTGTCACACTCAATCTCAGTCACAGCCTCTCCCCCACCCCCCCCAACGTGTCACAGCAAAGATTTCAAGTACTGCCTTGCTCTGGGTGACAGTGACACATACCAGTGGATCCTAGCTTCTACACGTGCTCAGTCATCATTAAAAACCTCACACTCACCAAATGGCTCCAACACCACCCCCACGGTGATGCCCCCACAGTCACAGGAGCTCAGCCACATATACCACATATAGAAATGTCACAAGAGCTACTGCTGTTGAGGGCCTGTCATGGGCTGGGCTATTTATGTGTATTTCCTACTCAGAACAACCCTACAAAAATAAGCAGTCACCATCTCGGTGCAACAGATGATGAGACTGAGGTTCAGAGGGCTGGAGAGCTAATTGCCTGTGGCTGCTTAGCTGAAGGAGCAGGACAGGTTGTAAGCTCAGGCCCTTCTGCTCAGAGTTCAGATTCCCCCACTTTTTTCCCTTTTCTGAGGAACATTTTCATCATCTTCAACCCACCCTCTCTGCCACCCTGTGTATGTATGCGAGGAACAGGGGATGGACCGCAGGACCTTGTACTTGCTAGGTAAGTGCTTGACCACTGAGCTACCCCCAACCCTTTTTAAAATTTTATTTTGGCACAGGGTTTCACCAAGTTGCTGAGACTGGTCTCCATCTTTTGATCATCCTGCCTCAGGCTCCTGAGTAGCTGGGATCTCAGGTGTGCACCACCACCCCCTGCTGATGTCACTTTCTCTCTAGCCCACCCCACGCTGTTCCACCCTGGGGATGGTCCCCGTATGCTCATCAGGTTCATMAATGTTCTTGCTGACCTTTCATGGCCAGAGATGCAGGCTCCTTTAGGTGAGAATATACACCCAGACAACCTCTTTGGAGGACAATTTGGCAATATCAAAAATGTAAGTGCAAAGTGCTGATATGGTTCCATGGGGAAAGAGTAGTCTCCAACAAATGGCRCTGGGAGAACTGGAGAGCCACACAGAAGAGAATAAGGTYGGAGCCCTACCTCACACCACATACAAAAATTAACTCAGAACRATCAGCGAACTAAATGTAAGAGCTGAAACTATAAGACTCCTTGAAGAGAGCATAATTATAAATTTTCCTGACTTTGAGTTAGACGATGGTTTCTTAGCTAGAACACTAAAAGCACAAGTGATAAAAGAAAAAAGTAATTGGCTTCATTAATGTTAAAAGCTGATGCTACAAAGGACACCTTCAGGATAGAAAAGGACTCTGAATAGGAGAAAGTATTTGCAAGTCACAGGTCTGACAAYAGACTCACATCTACAAAATATAAAGAACTTTCACAACTCAATAAAAAGATAATTCAAGGGCTGCGGTTGTGGCTCGGTTGTGGCTCAGCAGTAGAGTGCTAGCCTCAAGGCACTGGGTTCGATTCTCAGCACCACATATAAATAAAAAATAAAGGTCCATCAACAACTGAAATAAATAAAATTTTTAAAAAAGACAACCCAAGCCAGGCGTGGTGGTAGACTCCTTCAATCCTAGTGATTTGGGAGGCTTAGGCAGGAGGATTATGAATTTGAGACCAACCTCAGCAATTTAGCAAGGCCCTAAGCAACTTAGCAAGAAACTGTCTCAAAACAAAAACGATTAGGGATGTGTTACAAAAAAGAAAAACAGAAATGGGCGAAGGATTTGAATAGACATTTCTCCAAAGAAGGTATACAATGGCCAATGAGCACATGAAAAGATGCCCAACAACATCACTAGGGAAATGCAAATCAAAATCACTATGAAATACCACTTCACCTCCGCTAGGGTGGCTAAAATAAACAGACAAGAATGAATCTTGGTGAGGATGTGGAGAAAGTACAACTCTCTTACGCTGCTAGATGGGTTGTGAGCTGGGTGAGCCCCAACTGATAAATAATTTGGCAATTTCTTCAAATATTAAATAGTTACCATATGACCCAGCAATTCCACTCCTATATGTACCCAGGAAAATTAAAAGTATATGTCCACACAAGAATCTGCACACAAATGTTCATGGCAGAGTTAGGCATGGTAATGTCTCAAAATAAAAAAAAAATTGTCACGGGCTGGGGATGTGGCTCAAGCGGTAGCGCGCTTGCCTGGCATGCGTGTGGCCCGGGTTCGATCCTCAGCACCACATACCAACAAAGATGTTGTGTCCGCAGAGAGCTAAAAAATAAATATTAAAATTCTCTCTCCCTCTCTCATTCTCTCTAAAAAATAAGTAAATAAATAAAATAAACTTTAAAAAAAATAAATTGTCAGGATGAACCCAACTACTACATACAACTATAGAGTTCTAATAAAATAAATAAGTAAAAAGGTTGGGGATGTAGCTCAGTGGTAAAACACCCCTGGGTCAATTTCCATTCCAAAGGAAAAAAATGTGGTTGCACAATTCAAGAATATAGTAAAAGCCACTCAATCATATTCTTTTAAAAGCTCAATGTTATGGTATAGGAATTATATTTCCATAAAGCTTTCTTTGTGTGGTGCTGGGTTATCGAACCAAGGGCCTCACATCTGCTAGGCTAGCACTCTGCCACTGACCTGCATCCTCAGCCCTCAGGTTTTTTTGTATAACTTTACTTTGTTTATTTTCTGTTTATTTTTTTAATGTGGTGCTGAGGATCAAACCTAGTGCCTCACGCATGCAAGGCCAGTGCTCTACCACTGAGCCACAACCCCAGTACCTTTTTATTTTTTATTTTCAGACAGGTTCTCACAAAGTTGCCTAGTCTGAGCCCAGCATGGTGGCGCAGGCCTGTAATCCCAGCAGCTAGGAAGGCTGAGGCAGGAGGATCACGAGTTCAAAGCCAGCCTCAGCAGCAGCGAAGCCCTAAGTAACTCAGTGTGACCCTGTCTCTAAATAAATACAAAAAAAAGGGGGCTGGGGATGTGGCTCAGTGGTTGAGTGCCCCTTAGTTCATTCCTCAGTAGCCCCTCACTTCCTCCAAAAAAACAAGTTGCCCAGTCTGGCCTTGAWCTTGCTATCCTCTTGCCTCAGCCTCCCAAGTCACTGGGATTACAAGCATGCACCTCCATGACCAGCAAAGCTTTCATTTAAAAAAATGAAAGTGCACATGTCCAGCACTTAGGAAATTTCTAGAAATTTTCTTGTGTATCTATCTGGATATTTTGGCAAAGAGCTCCAGAGTATTTATTGCAGCATTGTTTGCAATGGTAAAGCACTTAGTAGGGCAGCCACACAATGGAACATCGTGCAGTCACCGGGAATGATGAACTAGATTGTGTGCTGAGGTGCAAAGCTGTCAGTGCCATCTATTGTCTGGATTGATGCAGAGGCCATTTGGCAGTGGTGTCACCTTAGGGGAGGAGCGATGAAGGA